AACGTCTCTTTGAACTGGCGGCAGCGTTTCCCATATCGAAGGTTAATCTTTTGGTATAGCATATAGGGCACAACAGCCTAATGTTGGCCTATCGGATGGTGGAGACAGTTCCAAAATTACTTCCAAATAAATTATCGCGGATTATTCGGGATCTCAAATAAGTAATTGCACTTTGACAACAGATTGTGGATCTGTGACGTACAACTCATGAAATGAAACAACCTTGACAGCTCTCAGAAGAGGATTAATTGCAGGTCATCGGCGGCAGAAAAATGTTCAGGTGTATTTCAGAGGTAAGTTGGTCGGTTTTTTTTCGAGATTGGGATAGTCCTTTGTAGTCATTCACGGTAAGCTTGCAAGCTTCTTCTGGGCACAATGACATGTTGGAGAGGTTTATGCTTCGCTTTGAGCTATTGCACAAGAACAAAACATCCACCTACATTTTAACGCATTCAATATGTCTTTAGAAGGGACGTTCTAGTCCACCGACCGGCTCGGATGGTGGCTGGGGCTTCGGAATGGGATTAGAGAGTTGGGTTGACGGGTTTGCGGACATCCTTCATAATAAACTATCCTACCTGCTTGAAACTATCACGGTACGCTAAAAGTCGTGGCTCGAATGTGGAAAACTGATGGGATAACTCGGACTAGGCTGTAAGCCTGGCGTGTGCTTGTGTAGAGTGGCTCTTCGGCAAATGGAGAGTGAGGTTGCAATAGCTCCTTTTAAATGTCACATTTATGACTCTCTCCGAGATCCGAGCCAAGTAGGATCCAAGCTAAGTTGCTCTTTTGCAATGCTCTGGTGAACTGTAAGCCGTGACCAGGTGATGTGCGATGGGGCGTGTGACACGTTGGCCCAGGCTGTGTGAACTGAGATCTAAGATGCAGCGCCTATCCTCTTGTTTTGTCAAATCTTGATCAAATGTAGGCTGTGGCCAGATGGTGGCTGCCGAACATGGGTGAGACGCTTGTTGTACGCTTAGGTTCTGCTTCAGTCTCCAGCCACCGTGGCCTTCGGTACAATCCCACTCCGTGGGCTTTGAATCAGGCGTGGCCGCTCCGACAGAATGTGCCTGGTTCTACCTCCGATTTTTTTGCCTCTAGAGAAGTGCAGGCGAAGGAAGAGAGAGACAGATTTAGTGCGCTAGATGCAATAGAAATCTGTTATCAGTTAAACTTAATTTTCCCGTGAGTCGTCATCCCCGCATTACCGTGCTGTGGAGTACGGGTTCGACATTGCCGGAATCGATGGTCGAGCTTTGAATTGCCTGATGAAGTCATAAATATGTAGTCCAAGATACTCTGCTCCAGCCGTTCTGCTAGACGCCTTTCCGGCTTTCCAAAGCCTGCTCACGCTCGACGCTTAACGGGATATCGATGCATGCAT